TTTAGAATTTGCAGAAACTTATATCTTAAGCCAGAAACTGTTGCTAGGTTAGGTTCATTATATAACAGAGTTGGGTAAATGTCGGATCACTGATTAGGTTAGCATAGCCTAGTAATAGGTTGTAGTATAATTCAAAAATTATATACAGTTAATACTGTCTAAATGCATACCACCGGTGAACACAAAAAAAAATCAATTTTATGTATTTAAACAGTATTAACCAATCAAATACTAGAAAATTTACTGTCTAAATACATATTACTATTAATTTTTTTTAAAAAATTATGCATTTATACAGTATACAGTATGCATTTAGACAGTATCAACTAATAAAGGCTTTGCTGGCTTTTCTAGCCAAGAAAAAAAAAAATTTAAATTATTAATTTTATATCTAAAAATCAATTTAATTTTAAAAAATTCAAATAGCTGGCTTTAATTTCTAACTTACAGTAAAGTTGTCTAAAAAAAACTTTTATCTTGAATAAGTAAGATTCCCATAATATTGTCTGGATATTGTAATAACAAGGTTATAAATATCCTTAATTTTATTTTTTTTCTACTAATCATATAATAGGTATATTACGACTCATCTCTAGTTTTTCACTTAATTCATGACATTGGTAATTTATCTATCAACTTTATTGATAATGTTATTCCAAGATTCCTCAAATTTTTTATACATTTTATTTAAATTAGCTTTGTCTGCTTCCCCATCAATAAATTCATCAAAGGTCATTTTTTCAGCATCTTTTCAGCTAATTCTATAGGAAAGACGAGAAAGACAAGGTTTGTACGAATTGTACAATTGGCCAAAGATTCTTAATTATCTAGTCGTTCAGAATATTTTAAAAATACCGCAAGAAATGGATATTTTGCTTGATATTGCACGAGGTCTCCATTATAATAAGCACGGAAACTATTAAAAGTAGCTACGTCAATTTTACGCCAAAGCTGTGGTAGTTTCAAAAGTCGATATTCTTCATCCATTACTCCTGTTTGATCAATTTCAGATTTAATAATATTGGAAATATTGCCTCGACCTACAGATGCAACGGCTAATTCTGTACGAAAGTTACAGTTTCAGTAACACTCCTAATTAATGGAGAAACATAATTTCGAGTAAATTGCGTTTCCCAATCTTCACGTTCAGCTGAAGTCCTTAACATTGACGCAGGCGTGGTGTTTGTGCCATTGTTATAAGTAATGAATGAAATAGAAATGCCAAGTATTCATCTGAACAGTTAAAAATTTGTTTAAGAACTGTCCAATCAGCAATAATATGGCCCAGACAATATTGTTCAGTATTATTTGCTGTTTGATTATGTTTGCGTAGGAAAGTTAATGTTGTTGGAGGATGTGCAGAAGATCCAATTAGGGTAAATCTAAAATTCTATAGGAAGGGTGGCATAGATCGAACTGAATGGTCAATCGAATTGTTAAATCTTCTTAAATCTATCCAGGTTGATCTTCGGATTTTATTAGCTCAGTTATTGGTGTATCATCTAATCTTTGATTTCTAGGTGCTGGCGTATTATAGATATGTAGGGTTGTTAATTGGTTGTGTTGGGTTGGTTTGGGTTGACCCAGTCTTCAACTAGGGATTGGAACCGTTTAACCGTTTAAAAATTGCTCCATAATTCCGGGCAGAATTATGTTGGTCGTGGGCCGGAATTATCTTAATGCCGGCCAAGTTAAACGGTTAAACGATTAAACGATTAAGAAAAATTTTAGGCGGTTCCAATCCCTATCTTCAACCCACTCCACTAAATTAGACCTACTCCAATGTTTTGTTCCGGGTTGCTCCAGGTTGCTCCAAATTTAAAATTTTAAACCTACTTCAATTTGGGTTGGGTTCTACTCCGGAGTGCTCCGGAGTAAGCTACTCCATTAACAACCCTATAGATATGCCCACCAATTGCATTATTTTTGCATCCTGGGACACTTTGTCGCTTGCAATAGTTTGTTTATATCCGGTTGATAAATTGTTCATTGTACTAACGACTTTCAAAAAGTCTGCAGCTTGATTTTCTGGTGCACCCCATTCACAAGATGCCCTAACCATATGTAGGCGAGATATAATAAGTCCAATTAATGCAATTCTTGAACGAAATGCATTAATATTTGGCAATTGTTGCATAAAAGCCTGAGAAGGAGCTTTGTTATCAATGCTGCAAAATTCTTTAAATGCGTCCTCTGCCTGGTGGTATTCCGGTAGTCGCCAATATGGATTAATGGAAGACGAGTATCTTTATTATCATTCCATTTGAAAGTGGATAACCAAGGAAATTTATTTGTGTGTTCTGTACAGAATCGCTTTATGTCATCAATTGAAAGTCCTTGTGACGTAATTCACGAAGAAAATAGATCTTGAGTGAATGAATTAAGGGATTATCTGTATTCATGAAATTATTGATTTGCTCAATAAGCACGTCACCATAAATTCACCAACATCCATTATGCCGATAAATGTAATTGGGTAGTGTATAATCATCTTTAAGTGTTTAATTCTTTAAGAAAAGCGATTGCTGAGATGCGTTTTAAGGGTTCATATGTTTTTTCTAAAAAGCTTGAACACCACACCCAAAATATTGTGCCATATCCGAAAGGTCCATATGAATAATATCACAACATAGAGTAGCCACTGAGGAATCTAAATTATTATTGTTCAAAGCAGAATTAATCACTTTTAAGCGGGGCGAGGCTTGTAAAACTTCTTTTTGATCTTGTAATATCCGTAGAAACGGATCACCAATCGTTTCTTTTTCATTCCAAAATATTTTAGTAAATATCGATCCCATAAGTGGAAAAGGATCCTTTTGTTATAAACATGTTGCCTAACTACGGAATCCAATGGGATAGTGAACATATCATTATAAACGAGTTATGTTCGCTTTTTTCAAGGTTGGATAGAATGCCTAATATGTGATCAACAAATTTTTTGGATAAAACGTTTTGTTCATCATAAACTAGCCCCAATTGATTGTTGTATTAATTTAGATGATATAATATCGTTGCAAATACGTAATAAATTGATATGCCATTGATCTAATTGAGGTTCACTGCCTGTTTTTACCATTTTATATAGCATCATTTTTGCAACATTGTCAACAAGAAATTCTTCAAATGAAACATTGGACACATTTGCGCTAATTGTAATTCTGTCAATATAATATCAGACTTTTTCCACCAATAGACATGAAGAAGAGCTGGATCGAGTACTTTATCTTTTCCGATATGTTGCCGTAATAATAAATGTTATATAATCTTCAAAAAACCATTCAGAAAAGTCTCTAAGGGAAGTGTCATTTATCACCTGATTTTTTGTAAATAGTAAATATTCCCCCCTCCCTTACATGATAAAATTTATGGGTCCCAATCATTTTCGCTACATTCATTTCCAACAATAATAAAACTGATTAATCGTATACCAATGTACATGATACTTTGTTAGGGAACCCCATTCTAAAATAATCAGGTGATAAATGACACTTCCCTAAAAACTTGATCGTTGAGATTCGGAAATGATGCTATGACATTATCACTAAATCTTCTAGCAGCGGTTTTGAAAATATAATTCAAAAGTTCTTGATCATAGTTTTCTGGATTTTCACTGTTTTATAAGTTCATCTTTAATTATTTTCATAAAACAATATGAAAATGGAAAACTTAAATCATAAAGGAGTTTTGGCATCACATATTGATCGGGGTTGGCTCAAGCAAGTTATTGATATTTAGAATCTTTGAATTCAAGAACATTGTTTGTAAAAACGTAATTAAGTTTTATCATTTTTCTTTTTTGACTTATTGATGTAAGTGTTTTAATGAACAAATAACATTTTAGCAAAAGAACAATCTCCCTTAAGAATAACCCTATTTATAGTTATTCCATTAGACTCAATTAAGTTATTTAACAACGCAAAAGTATAATCATCGATACTAAAGTATGTTAATAAAGTAACACTGATGATCATTTCGTATGCATATAAAATGAAAGTACGTACGTAATAACGCTGGTACGAGTTCGACAGGGCGGCCCCCCAAAGTCCGGTTACATGTGGTCAATGATCCACACCCTGCCGGATACATCATGGTAGATGATCGACACCCTGC